GTGTGTGTGTGTGTGTGTGTGTGTGTGTGTCTGTTCTGTAAGAGACACAGACCCAGGAAGCAGGGGATGGAGAGTATTTTTGTAGAGAGGAATGTTATCCCTTCATTATTAATCTCTTTTCGTCACAACACTGAGGGCTTGAAGGAGAGCGGCGGCGGCGGACCTTCACAGACACACAACCAAAGTCACACTCAGAGCTCACACAACGTCTCTTCTGCTGCTCACATATACGAGCTAGCTGCTAGATCTAAACATATTGCATAATCTTCTTTACAGTATGTTCCTCAGCCAATTCTAATCCATTCATCCATGTCTGCACTCATGCACACACACACGTTCTCAGATCATTAAAACCTATTAGGATCACTCAAGCCTGGACAGCCAGAAAAGCATCACTGTTGTGTGATAAACTATAGTTAGGTTCTCGAGATTAAAACTCGTTTCTCTCATATTTTAGATTGTCTTTTATTTCACTCGTTAAGCGAGTGTGCACACACACTGTGGTGTAGGGTTTTTTAACAATAAAAATAATAATCACGTGTCAGTCCAATCAAAGTGTGCCCTCGTTAGTTATGTTGTTTGTGGCTGGTTTAATTTGATCCCTGAAGTGTTGTGACATACRAGCTTTATTCAAAACAAACAAACTCGGCGTCTATTTCTAAATGGGATGTGTAGGAGAGCGATGGAGCTAAGGCGACCCTCCTGCATTCCGTTAACCTCGCAGTCAGAATTTATGGCAACATTTCGGTGAATTAACCTTTAAAAGAAGAGCATAAACATTGATTACAAACATTTTTTAGTTGTATTCTGCAAGTTATCATAAAGGTTTCTGATTTTATTGTTTTTAGTTAGAATGTTTTGTATTGTTTTGTGAGATAATTGCAGATGCAGTGTTGGTGCTGTAACTGTTGATGAAGACCCAGTCAGTGGAAACGTTTCACTAAATTTCTACAGCTCATTTAACAGTGAGCTGCACCGCCGCTGTAACGTCATCATTATTAATGTTGTGTGGGAGGTTTGGGGGGTAAATTAATTGTTTCACTTTCACATCTGTGCTCCAAATCAAACTCTGCTGTCCAGCTGTTGTGCCAACCAGCTGCTGATTAGTTGAGCTTTTCTCTCAAAATGTAAAACTAGTTTTAATGGTTCTCTTATTGTCCTTCTGATTTGTAGTTTAAAACAGCTGGAACTGTTTTAACTATTAGTATTAGCTTAATTATTTGTATAGCATAAGTAATCACTGGACAAATTTTAATAAAAGTTGAAAGTTATCACTTCATGTACATCTACAGCTGAAAAGGGGTATAACTCAGTCCGTTTTACAGATATTGGTCTAAGATTTGGTGTGGTAGTAGCTAAGGATGACTCCCAATACATTTATTAAGTGCTAACAAACTGTTTAAGATTTTTGTTTTAAAAAAGTTGGCGTTAACTATTTTCAGTCAGCTCTATCTGACTGTTAGCAAAATACTTCATAAATCACTGGAAGGATTTTAATTCAACTTCCAGGGAATAATCATTGGTTGCACATTAACAGTTGATTAACTTTTGGAGCAACCCTTTTCAACATGGCCGGCCAACTAGCTATAAAAAAACATTGAAATAGC